TTACGTATAAACGTTAACGTGGATAGACACACACACACACACACTCGTACAAAAGTAGCGAAACCAATATTATCCAATATATGTTAGGATTGTAAATGAAGCAAGCTTGCATTTACTAAGGCAATCGATGACGTTACTTTTTTCGATAGTGAGTAGGCTTTCGAGACCACCAGTTAATAAGACATAAAGCGACAACTAAAATATCTTATTTACTGGTAGTCTCGAAAGCCTACTTACTAAGGAAAGAAGTAATGTCATCGATTGCCTTTACAAATACAAGTTTGCTTCATCGACATTCCCAATACAGAATGTGATATGGAAAATGCTTGACCTTTCTTGAAATTCACATCCGTCCTGTGACCCAAGGGCGCTCGTGGTAATGTGGCGTAGTTGTTAACGTGTCGAGACTACACAATGAATTGTCATCGTTCGACTCCCGCTGGGCCTGTTGATAAAACCTATGTGAGATCGAAACTTCAGCCCATCAGAGATGAGAACACATTTTGGGAAAGCAAGGCCATGTCAAATTCAAAGGAAACGTCAGCTCTACTCATGTCATTGTGGGAAAATTCAACTACCAGTCCTTCATCACCTTAAACGAAATAGAGTTAACACAACTCATCTACCTGGAAGATAATAAGCCAAACCATTCTACAACCCTTTATGAATATTCATTTTCGTCTTTTAGTTAATAGTATAAATGAGGTCAGATATGGCCAGATAGTCTTCTTGGCCTTGTTTTGGCGTGAAACTTTTACAATGAGTCCCAGATTTGATGATTTTTATCACATGATGGACGAAAGCTCAGCTTGTTTTCCCCCGAAACAAGATAGTATGTCCCTTGGACTGCATCCACCTGAACATCGTATTAAGGTCAAAAGACTGCAATACAACGGGAATCAGCCGTCATCTTCTGGTGAGATCGGCCCAGGAATCTCTTCTGTATGCACTTTGATACGAAATGAATGTCTCTCTAACAATGTTGTTTCAAGAGATTCGTTGAAACCTAGTTACTCTTCGTAGTTAGATATAGAGGGTTTGGACTAATTACCTTTCATATTTGTCATGTTACTTTTACGTGAGTGTGTGTGTGTGTTAGTGTGCATGTGTATTAATGTCTATACACAATAGCAGTCATTAATCAGAGTGATAAAAAAAGCCTAATAGCAAGATCTGGTCAGTAAGGTTTAATGACCCAAGAAAAAACCATGATCGAGACTGCTTTAGTCGGCAAGTGACTATGATTGAGATAATTAAAAGTAAGCTTGTGATCGTTTAAGTGTGGTTACGAAACCACCTGTCATAACCTCTCAATCCAGGGTCACTAAGGTTTAACTATCCATGGAAAGGCATGACTGGGGCTGCGTAATCTCGTACGTCTGGCTTGGTTGATAAGTTTAATCTAACATGTTAGACGATTGTGAGCGAAGTTGAAACCATCAGTGAGATGGCAAACTGGGTCACCTTCTTTTGGATGGCAGCCCAGCACCCTCCTCTCCTTCAATCTATCAATCAAGCATAAGTAGCTCTTACTCAACCTTCTATCACATTCCTAACATTCTAAGTATTCCCTAATCAAATAATGTAAATACCCTCTCTTATACAGTACAGCGGAAATAGGCTGTCGTCTTTA